GGGACCGTATCCTGCCCGTATCCGCCCTCCCGCGCGGCGCTGGCCAGCAGCAGCCCCGCAAACACGCCGCTCACCAACCCTTCTCCCGTCCTTTTGCCGCTCACGCGCCCAAGCAATGAACGGGAAACGGTTCCCGGTTTTCTGATGCTTATTTAAGTATTTATGCACAATGTTTCACCAGTCAGCTGTCGTCTTCCTCTCCCTACAGACTGCAGCAGCTCAGGGATTATTAGTGGTTTGTTGTCTGGCTTGGGCTTTTGGGCCTTTGGATTTGATGATTGTTCATGTGATTCTAGTCAGGCGAATTTGTTTTTCATTAATCTTGTAAAATTATCTTGACACATAATTGTTCGGTTTGAGTCACTCAAAATATTAACCTTTGATACTCATCACAAAGCCTGAAAAAATCCCCAAACGTGAGATCCATTTTAAGTGTATTAAGGATGTACTTCGTTTACAGTATATCCAGTTACGCTGCAGCACCATTTTCCTTCTTTGACTTAACTGCTCTAATTTAATTTTACATATTAGAGTCAAAGGATGTTCAGCCTCTGATTGCTGTGGCAGCTGTGTCAGGCTACAAGCGCAAAGTTGTGGGATATTTGTGAGATGACACCAGCAGCCTTTGTCTTGCCTAGGCCAGGCTTCACGGTGAGTTCTGCCTAAATAAAACGCCTCAAAGAGAGGATTTTTCTAGTCTTTGTCTGCAGGTACCACAGCAGCAAGTGATTTCCCATGCCACGTGACTCTAAAATGAAAGCTAGAAGAAGGATAGGCCAATACGTGAGTTACCGCTGAACATTTTCACACTTACGGTAAAGCATAATGGCAAGCGATGACCAAGTCCGCGCATCGGTTTCTGCCCGTGAACGCTCTTTTCTCCTGCCCATTGGCAAAACCACTGGATGGCCAGATCTACTGCTGGTGTAAATCTGCTTACTGCCAGTGCGTTCCCTAGAGGGGTGCTGACCTGCAGCTGCTGAGCCTCTGGACCTGGAGGAAAGATACAACCCAGAATAAATAAAAGAGAGAGTAGAAAGATAACAGCTCAGAATGCCAGGCTTCTAGTTTGCATGTTATAACATTTTTAATCACAGCAAAACTAAAAGAACACGTCTTGTAACTAAGTCAAGGGCAGCAAGGTCTTCTAACTAAGCCCTGGGCAGGTGTAATACCTAAAACTCCAATTTTTGCGGTTTAAGAACTGTGTTCTCCTCCTTTATCAAACGCTTTTCTTTCCCTTGTTGTGGTAGGAAATGCCCATGCAAACAGGGGAAACCAAGTCCTGCACAGGGAAAACAGCTCGTCACTGGCTGCCCTCGACTGAAAAAACAGCAGGGGCGAAATTCTAGTCTCTGTCAGCGCTAGTAACATTAAGGCGCATTTGTAATAACAACCGTAAAAACCTGCCCGCAGAAGACGACAAGCGTTTTGGGTTTGGCTAGGCTGCCACAAATAAAATTCCAGCAGCTGCATCCCCTAGCTTTTTGGCACAAGGAGCTTGAAAGGTGCTAAGCTGTGGCTTAGGAAGACTGGGCCCAACTCTGCAAACCTTCTTCTAAGGCAAATGGTCTGGAGAAAAGCTAGAGGATGTCTGTGCAAGTCAAACAGCCTGAAAAATTGGAAGAAAAACACTATGCTTTTCTTCTGACTCAAGTGGAAGACAGTTGCAGACAACAAAGAGCTGTTCCCTGCCCAGGACTCGGGGGATTGCTGTGCTGCTGTGTGTCTTGATGATGAAAAACAGCCCCGGGGGGGCTGAGCCGTGCGAGCAGCTGCATGGGGCTGAGCCTTGCGAGCTCGCGTCGCGACTTTACGGACAGTCCCGAGCACCGACGTACACCAGGCTGCCCGTACGGCAGGACTCACCTTGTGACCTTCTCGCCGTTGGCCCGCTCCTCGGCCTGGTGTCCCTGGGAAACTCGGAGGTTGCCTCTGGCGGAGCTGGAGGCAGGCTCGGACGACCAGTGGGCGGTAGGCCCCGCAAGCAAAAACAGGTGCTGCTTTCTGATAGTTGTCTTTTGTAAGAGCTGCAAAGATAAACATGTATCTTATCCAATGAAGTGTGAAAATGGCTGCTAATAAAAACCAAAAACCAAAAACATGCAAACTCAAACAATAAACCTAACCAAATCTAAGCCTCAGCTTGTAGAGAACTTGTCACAGAAGAGCATTCACACAGCCTTACGAGGCCACCTTGGCTACATGACGACGCTTCCCGTTGCTTTCTTCAAAGTCAAGTGGCTGGCGAGGAGTGACGCTTTCTCACCATAATCACTTCCTTTACAATATTTTCAATGTCCAGTACAAGGCTAAATGCTCTTGTCCTCCCCTTGTCCTCCGTAGAAAGGTGGGAGCTGCTCAGCAATTCTTCAGGGCTGGATTTCTCCCCAAACCGCCTTGTGTTAGGATTACAACACACTCCCTTCATAGAGCAGCAAAAGACTACATCCTCCCAAACACAGAGCACAGCAGAAAGCACCTGGCAGCTGTCAAACTCCCCACAGGAGGCTGGAGAGTCACCACACTGCAACGACCCTGCTCCCTAGGGGAAGGGCAGCCTGTCCCCAGGAAACCGGCAAGGCAAGGCAAGGGGGTGCAGGCCCCAGCGTCCTGCGTCCTGGCAGGGAGCGGGAGCTGCTGAGCCTTTGGGCAGAAGGTCAGGACTGTGCCCAGCTCCGGTCAGTCTGTGCACGGTGCCTGGCACAAGCGGTGGAATGGGGCTTTCTTCCTCGAGTGTTTTCTGTGTAGCAAGACAGTACGTAAGACAATCTACCTGGGGATGGACTTTGCTTCCCCAGTGAGTAGCTCGATTATTAAGCAGCTGGGCCTCCCGCTATTAGCCCAATCATTTAATTGGAATATTCATTCTGTCTTTTCACGTTGCCAGCCTGCAGCTCAGTAAGTGTAATGGCTTCTGGCCCAGCAAGTGCATCAGACAAGCTCTGAAATTACATTTGCCACTTTGCAGCTGCTATACATCAGTGAGGTACTGGCTAATGGAGGTCAGCCTGAGTTTACCCTCGACATCTGTGCATCAGGATTTCACCTTCAGTAGCATTGTACCAACTCCTACCAACTAACAATCGGTCACAGTGTAGCAGAAGTTGCCATAATCAAACATTCATGAGTGCTGCAAAAGGACGCACTTAAAAGACTGATGCAAATCTTGCTGATGTCTTGCTGCTATCCCCAAAATAGCAGCAGTGGCAGCCTCATGTTAGTACGGCAAACAACGAATCAAGGACTCTGAAGAAAATAACTACCCACCATTCTTGCATCTTTTGCAAAAAGTCTCCTTTCTACATGCTGCTGATCTATGCAACACTGGCTATTACTGGAAAAAGCAAAACACACAGCAGACATAATAAAATGCAAAAATAAATGCCTATAGTGTCAGCTGTTGACAAATGCCCCACAGGTACTGTCTTTAAATATTTCTCTTCTCCATTCGAAATAAAGAAATACGGTAACCTTGAGAATAGCAACATTTTATCTCGTGACACTTCCAGTGGCAAAGCTGGCATCCAATCCACAGTATCAGAGCACCTTCATAGAGGCCTTTTGTATTAAAAAATATTCGGGTCGCATCTGCTGACTGAACGGATGCCCTTGGTACAAGAGATGCACACAGAATCTGCTGCGCTATCCAAGCAAGTTCCACTTGCTGTATTGTCTTCTGTTCTTCGGGGAACGTCACGTTGGTCACAAAACTTTGTGGACTTTACTCAAGGACAGGTCTGGAACTGATGCCTAGGATTCTCTATAGATGTCCTGGAAGAAAAAACCTCAGAAATCCTTGTCCCAGCCTGAAAGTTCATCCGGAGGGGTTCCCTCTTCAGGTGCATAGCAGTCAAAGTAGCTGTAATCAGTGGGTCCAGACAGCTAGGACATTAAAAACACAAACAAAAGGTTGTTTCAGAGGGTCACTTTTGAAAATAGTCTCCATTAACTACACATCCGGTTTTATTGCTGCCAGTGGCAGAACGAAAGGCTCACAAGCTATGGATGACATCTCTCAACGGGTGCATTTCATCATTCTTTAGAAGATAAAAACTCCAATAAGTAGCTTGTACAACAGAACAAAGAAACTAGTCTCCTTACAGAACAACACTCTCCAGACATTACCGAACGCTAGATCTCATCCAAAGCCCACAGAAGTTGGTAAGAAAAGCCACGCCACAACCAATATAGTTTTGATGCAAATTCACGTCAGACTGCATCCACAATCACGGAGCAGCTACTCAGAGAAGAGCTCAGAATTATTATTTGTTATTATTAAGCGAGTTTCAAATTCTCCACCCTCAATCTTTTCTCGTTTTAGGGCAGAGAGAAATGGGCTGTTTAAAAGAGGAAGCTCATTCAAGGCTGTGCTGTAATTCAGTATCATGAGAATACAGGAATTTGTGCTCTGCGCAGTCAGTGAACAGCGTGTCTTAATAACGTGCCGATTGCCCAAGAAAATACGGCCTTTCCCTGCTCACCTCTCACCAAACACCATTTATTTTAATAGGGGTGAAAATCTAACGCTAAGCACACAGGCAGAATAATATTTCCACTACTGAACTGAATCGAAGTTATCTGTCACTTGCTGGTCTCTCTTTTCTTCCTTCAACTTCCACTAGAGATGGCGAGCTATAGAAATGCAAGTGCTCCTTTGGGAAATTCTGCACTTGACATCAGGTCTGTCTTTGTAGCCAAGCACCTTTGCAACAGTAAAGCATTACGATATTGAAAGCCAAAGCCCGATACCTCTCTTTTCAAAGGTGATGTTAACTTCCTCACTTGCAGACCATCCCAGTTAAAACCATTCAACCACCTAATTAAAAGAAATGAGAGAGAGAGAGACAGAGACAGACAGACAGACAGACAGAGACTATTTTCTATTAGAAGCACTCCATTATTAACAGCCTAAAAACATGAAAACAAGGGCTATAAAACATGTTATCACAGGAACTTCCTTCCACGTGACAACACAACTGTTAGAACGGGGACACCTGAGAACTGGCACTGCCGTACAAGGCAGTGGTAGGAGGGGGAGCGTCAGGGCCACCAGGTACGTTGCAGCCTCTCTGTACAGAAGATGCGCACGGGTACGTGTATGTGGATGCGGGCGGGCAAGCCCAGCCGCGCAAGGGCACGTGTCCCCCCCGGGAATTCCACCCTCCTTTAGCAACATGAGAAGAGGCTTCAAACAGAAGTGCCGAAGTGCTTCATTTCCCAATCACAAACCACAGGCCTTAGAATTAACTCAGAGACAAAGACAAAGCAGGAAACGTCTCATCCACTGAGGACTGAACTCAAAAGTACGGTTCCCCTTGACGCAGGCAAAACGATCACGGAATGAAACAAAAAACTATTTTTCATCTCTTGACAGCTGCACGTGTGACTCCTTTGGCAGGAATAGGGTAAAACAGTGACAATTCCCCCCAGAAACAGCTCTGTAACAGAGAAACGTAGAACCAAAGGGAGAAGCGTGCCCTTTGAAGACTGTAGCGTTGAGATACAGGCAGAGCGCAAAACGAGTAAGTTTACTAGGTAAAACACACCACAGACGGGGCAACGTGGTTCTTCACTGAAATGCGCACAGATGACATGAACCCTCATCTTTCTTTACCTCTGCCTCTCACAGCACATACCAACATTGCAATTGGAAGCACAGTTTTGTTTGGGTAAGCTTATCCCACAGAGAACTTTCATCTGGGTAGCTCAGGCAGCACCGCAGGTTTCAGCGTGGATGATACCGGGTGTGTGTTGGGGCAGCCGGCCCTGGTAAAGACCACGCCACCAGTGGGCAGCAAGTAAAAAGGCAGGGGTTTTGCCAAGAAATCTACTCTAAAAACGCACACTGTGGTACAAAGACTGGCGCCCTTCCCAAGCTCTGGGCAACGCCATGTATAAGGAAGTGTTGTATAAGGTGGTTGTCTTTAACCAAGTACCAGTAGAGGAAACAGTACTTGCCCAGTGAGGTAGATGGCTGTTAACTGAGACAGCAATTTAAATAAAATGAGATCGACATGCTAGATAAATGCACTGCTATTACAAACGCTACACAGAGAACGGTCCAAAGGTTTCAAGAGCGGACAAGATTAGAAGGAGGAGGACAAAAACTCCATATTGCTCTAGCGCTCTTAACTACTGTTCTTAAACAGCAACTGTTTGGTTGCAGACGGAAGAGTTTGGAGGTCTGACGGGGCAGATTATCCAATACCAGCGGCATTGATTTCTCCAAGACCTGAATTAAACTCCCACGTCAACAACCTGTGACCAAACCAGTACGCCATGCCATGTTTCTAGCTGACCATCGTGAGGATTTACGTCTTTACTGTTGCCTGCTGTAGGAGCAAGTAGATGTGACAGCAACAGAGAGATCTCTATTACACAGTCTGAAGTGCCGGACACCTCAAGGGTTTACTGAACTGGGTTCTAATGTAATAAAATTATTTTCAACTCCAAAACCAACTTCTCTTTTGGGCAGAAGCATCTCTTCACTTACCTGTGCTTCCTGATGTCATTAATTCCATTCCTCAGATTGCCCAATCTTTCTGTAGGGTTTTGCCTTAAAAAAGAGAAAAAATTAAAGACAAGAATTTAGGAAATATTCTTATTTTCAGAAAAGAGAATCACATAGGACCACGCATGCCTTCCTGCTTGCATTTAACAGTTACACAGGCAGGGAGCTTGCATACAACATGGGGCCACATGAGGAGGAATAATCAAGTGTTGCTCACTGGTCCTTTCTTCTGAGAAAGGAAAACCTTCCAGGAAGTCAAGACAGCGTCACTATGCTGTGAGAAAAGCAGGGAGGAAAACGAATTGGTTGGAATTGTAGTTGCACGTTTTTTGCTTCTTAGCAAACAGGTCTGTCTTCTATGAGTTACAAAAGGAGGCAGACCAAAATTTGCAGCTACGGAGATCCTTTCACTCCCACCACATACACACGGTGTGTCCTGTTCCTAGCACCAAGAAGGAGATCCCACCGGAGCTGGCAGGTCAGAGTCAGCAGTCTCACCAGCCACAGGCTGTGCGTGGCACTATGCACTAATACTTCTGAGTTACGCAGGCCTTTCAGAAATCTCTCTTTTCTGTGCATGTTCAAAAGGGCTTACGTCAGCCCTTAAGCGCCCCAAGCTTTCTGTCGGAGCTATAATTGCAAGCAAGTTTGGAAGCATGTTTTAAAATACTGCACTTGATCAATGGAATTAAATTCTTCAGCTCCTTGCAGAGCCCTCAGTTAAATGAAGTTGCCCTAAGATGGGATTCAGAAGACCACAGGAAAATCCGGAACGTCCCACGGAGAAAGCCCAGAGCTTGGGTTTGTAGATGATACCTCTGCAGACTGAGAGGTGTGACAAACACCCAGAGCCACGCACACATACCGAATACAACCAGAACGGATCATGTTAGGCAAAACGATGTTCAGTGGAGTTGTCAGAAATATAATGCTCTAGTCCGCATCTGAAATAGCTCAATTTGTCCACTCCCGCGCTCTGCCACAAACTATCCTTGCTACCTGCAGAGTCTGTGGGTCAAATCCTCGGGCTGCCTTGTTATTATTTTAGGAAAATCCAGTTTTTCAATGCCTTTGAGAATCAAATTCTAGCTCATCATTTCATCAGCCCCAGAGAACGGTGGACTAGAAAAAAAAAGCAACGCTGTCAAATGGAATGGCGGGTGAGAGCAGATGTGGCCATTTCTTACCAAAGCAAATATTTGAGAATACGGAAAACATCACTTCCCCAGGTTTGCAACCTGCATTTTTGCCCGTTTAAGATATTAGCAAGGTTTGGAGCTGGGAAGTTGCCTGTAGGTACCAGGGAAAACGCACGATCGTCTGTGTTGGTCTCAACAAGCCCTGGCCGCAGCCTGACTCAGCGCAGCTTCCGTGTTGTACTAACGTGGAACAGTCGCAAAGAGTCACCACGGGAGCGTGCGCAGGGGCAAGGAACGAGCCCCACTTACAGTTCACCCACCCCACTGCACCCCTTCACCCACTAAAAGAGAAAAAACAGGACCACCATCATCAGCTAAAGCAACTCTCCACCAGCCACCTAAAGCCTGTGCCTGGCCCTTTCCTTGGATGGATAAGCCAGAACTAGTACGCGGCCCGGGCCCGCAATTTGCTTGTCTGTGACAGTCCTGGAATGAGGGAAGACAAGGCACAGGTAGGAAGCAAAAAGAAGTATCATTTGGTAAGTCATTCCCATCTATGGACGGGAAACATGACAAACTGTTTGCTTTAAAAATAACTTAAAACACACAAGGAAAGAACTTGGCGTAGGAGACGCTTACCTGCCGGTGAGGAGTTCATACACAAGAATCCCAAGGGACCAAAAATCCACACTGAAGTCACGGCCTTTACTCAGAATGACTTCAGGCGCAACATACTCAGGGGTTCCACAAAACGTCCACGTTTTCTGCCCTGCTCCAATCTTCTTTGCAAATCCAAAATCAACCTGTTGAAAATCAACACGTGCTGCATAACGCAGAGGTGCTTTGCACTGGGAAGCTTTAAGGTCCTAATTGCACATCTTTAAGGTCTTAATTCCACATCTCCTGCAGAGATCTCACAGTTGCCAGAGCTACAGCTAAGACAACGGTACAGTCTTATTGTGAAGGAGAAGGAAGTTAATTCCACTGGATTACTGAATGGTATAGAAGAGTCCCATTCACTCTCACGGGTCATTTCCTGAATGAGTCTCCTTTTGGATCAAACAACCCACGCTTCCTTTGAGGATCCAGGACTCTCAGCCCACGGAGAAGGATGGGTTGCTCTCCGCCCTCAGCACGGATGTTTCGAGCTCTCTGAAGGGTATTCTCTTCTCAGTTTTCACTGTCACGGTCAAGCGAACCAGGAGCTCTTCACTGTGTTCCCTCACTACAGAAATAAGGGAGAGCCTGCAATTGCTTGAGGCTGGACAGGGAGGTCATTCCACACCCGGGAAATGTGGCTCCTGCCCGTGTATTGAGACTGGCTGCTGGGAGAAATTACTTTTGCTGCAGGTGCTGTGGCAAGAGCCCCTGGAGGCTGCAAATCCCCAGTTTCTCCGTGGGATTGCAATGCCTTTGCTCCTTACTGCGCAACCAGTAACTTGCCCTCTTTTCCTCTGAAGAAGGAGGGAGATTAAACTCCAGGATCCTGGTACAATAATGACAGCCTGCCTGTTTATATCGCCTTGCAAGGAAACAGCTTCAAAAGGATAACATTACATCTTACCAGTGTTATATATCCTTCAGCATCCAAAATTAAATTTTCTGGCTTCAGGTCTCTATAGATAATTCCTATCACGATGTAGATAGTCAAAAGCCTCTGTCACACACACAACACAGAACTTCGTCGTGGGTTCCTCAAAGCTGCCTCTGCAACAAAAATAATCACTGTCCTTGCATACGGAATTACCTCCTAAAAAGGTTTCACTCACTAAGCAGATAAGATGCAACACCCAGACTATTAACAGCTTTTTTGCTTTAACATTCAGTGTGTCACTCAGGTGGTTGAAGACTAAGCCAAATATCATTTCACTGGACAGCCTTTGAATCCTCACGCGTTCTAGATCTTTTTGCCTCTTGTGATAACGTTTTATATTGACACAGTAGCTCTCATTGCACAAAATCCAAAGCTCTAGACACACTGCAGGTGCATAATAATCTCACCCAGGAATAAAATGCAGCCACTAGGTGACAGTATACAGCCAAACTGCACCACAGTCTAAAATAAAAATCGAAGACAAGGAGTTTTGCGATCGACTGAAATGCCAGGGGGTCTTACAGAGCACAGCCCCTCACCTGCTCAAACAGAAATTTGCCTTACATGCCTTCTGTTGCCCAAAAGAAAACAAGATCTTCCCTCCTCATCTCTTCTATCTACTCCAAAGGACAGCACTTCCAAACGCATAACAGAGCAAGCGTTGTGTTAGGACAACAGCACCATAACAACTCCAGAGCTCCTTCAACAAAATTATAATAGTTTTTCTTGCCAACTTTGGTTGTTCCCATCCTGACAGACTGAGTCCACTCTTTCGGTATATGAAGAAACAACCCAGAGGCACAATCTTTACTAACTTCTCTGCAGCGTCTACATGTGTGTGCTTGTACAAAGAAGTTTGGCATTAGGAGGCACGCCTGGCTCTATAACAAGCACTGGTATATGCGGAGAACAGGAGGGTCATAGTCTCACCTCTTTGCCTTTCAGAAAGTCATGTCCATGCAGAGCAATCAAGGATTGCCAGGAAACCTTGTCTACATTTTGACCCAACATGCAAGGAAAGGAAAAGTTGCATCACATGCCCCTCCTGCCGTGTGCCCTCAAAAAACGGATCATGATGGCAGCAAATGGGAAAACAGTACCTTCTTCCACTTAGGAGGAGCTTCTGTTCCACTGGAAGTACTTGCTGTTTACTCTGGGTTAGCGTTTTCAGCCAAATCCACGAAGGCAAACATCTTGCTTGTCCTGTGTAGCTACCAAAGATCCCAAGACTCTTAGAGCCAGAGCAGAGATTTCCTTGGTAGGTAAGAGCTGCTTCTCCCTCCCTCGTATAGCTGGTCTGCTTCGGCTGTTTTCTGTTTGTAGGTAGTTCTTCAGATCATCACTGACCCTTCAGCAACAAAAGGCACTATTTCCTTATGACAGTGCTACCTGCCATGGTTCTCAGCAGGGAGAGGCTTCGCTGCTGCCAGTTCCGCCACTCGCCCAAGCCCCGCAGTCCCCTCTCTTTTTGTAGCTAAAGCTGCCAGTCAGGTTTGCATAGGACTTTGTCTGTGCTGCATGGAGAGACAGCAAACTGTGGTGGTGGGCAGCAGCAAACCCACAGAGACTAACATGAGCATCACTAGCGACAAATGTAATTTCCTTCACCTACTTAACTGGGGCCGTGGGAGACATATGGACACTAAGAACAAGCAATTGCAGCGGTTATATCCTCCAGGCAGCTCAAAGCACAATGCTCATGCGATCCTGTTCTCATCCTGTAATCCATCCACTAATACACACTCTACTAACAGCACTCAGACATTGCAAACCCAGGCATAATTAAAGAAAACATGCTCGCATTTGCTCAGGTCAGCTCTGGGGAAACTTCATGAACATTCAAATCAGTTTGAACTGATAGGGAGACTAATGGAGTGAGACTGGCAGGTTTGCTGGAATGGCCTGGCCCTTCTGTGAACCCAACAGAACCTATTCACTCTCAGCATCTGCTGTATACAGAGAAGTCAGCATTGCTCGCCAAATTCTCTCAACCTAGCGGGGAGGGGGCAAGGAGGAGCGGTATCCAAAGTAGTGGACAGGTACAGATTTACAACATCTGATCCCTTATCAATACCAGTCTCTGAAATAGAGCTGTACCAATTCAGTAAGGCAGAGAACCTATGCAACAGACACTCGCAGCTGACTGGTGATTTTCAAGGACAAGGTTCCACTTTATTTGCTGTTACCTGTCTCTCAGCAAGCGCCACAATTCTCCAAGGTAGGCCTCCAGTAGCATGTAGGCACACTTACTATCCTTGAATGTATGGAATAGTCTGTGGAGACAAACAGCAACAATTTATGAGAAGCAAAATAAAATGCAAGACTCACAATGTCTTTTCCCCAGAATCCAGGAATGTGAAACCTGATCCTTTAATGCTGCTAAGTGGGTCCAACTTTAAGGAAACCTTAGGGCCAACCTACTTCACAATGAAAGGAGAGCATATCTCTTCGAGGATTTTCTTTTCACAGTAGACATGCTCTTGTCGTTTGGTGTCCACTACGTGTTTCTTCTTTATACGCTTCATAGTGAAAGCCACATTCTCATTTGTCACTTTAACCTGTGAATAAACATGATGAGTACACGTGAAGTAAAGAAAGTAAGTTTTACCAAGCTGCTCTTCAACAAAAATATTCACTTTGGGTACAGCACAGCCTTGTAACCGATGGCTGTAACTATGGATCAGTTCCAGATTTTCCGTAGAACTGTTCTGCATGATTTTAAGCCAGGCTCCCACTTTTTTTTTATCCCCACTTGTACAATGAGGAGAAATGTTCCCTTTGCCCATTTTATGTATACAAAATATCAGCAGTTTGGACAGGTACTGTATTTTACAATTAGTTTCTAGCACAGCGGGTCCTAATTTCAACAGGTCCTTCAATTTTCTAAACACTAACAGAATACAAATGAGCAAAAAGCAGAGGAGTTTATGATGAACGCTTATGAATGACTTCACATTACACTAAAATGTTATACAAGATGCAATAAAAAGGTTAAAGTTAAAAAAGGGCTTCCTGGAAACCAGAGAAGCAGCTCTCAGTGTTCTACGGCTGTCTGGGAATTTGATTTGCACTTCACTTTCCAGGTGATGTTGTAGAGTTCCCACGGCTGGCTGTCATCCCACGTGGAACAGTTTATGAGAATTTCTGATTTGTTTTAGGAAGCATGAATCACAATAAAACAACAGATTGTCTAGCTACTGTAAAGGATTTCTCTGTTCACTAAAATCACCTAGCCTCCTTTGATTTACCATCAACTCCAGCGGCCTGTAGAGAAGTGCTCACTTTTTTTTTTTCAGATGCTGGCTACTGAGCCTGAGGAGTCTGGAATTTAAGACTTCCTACCCCCCTTTGTTTTCCCATCACCCCCGCCAGCCTGTAGAGAAGTGCTCACTTTTTTTTTTCAGATGCTGGCTACTGAGCCTGAGGAGTCTGGAATTTAAGACTTCACTCTGATGAAGCTCTTCCCATCCCGAAACACAAGAAACGGCTCAAAAGAGCCATTACAAATTGTTGGAGATTTCGAAGTGAACACAGCTCAGAGACAGACCCCACTGCTTACAGTTGCTGCTGGGCACACTGAGGCATTTTTAACCACAAAGAATTTGGGAGCCTGGAGACTACTTCAGGTCTAGGCAGAATCTCTGGACACAGCCAGCAGTTCGGGAACATGATGCAGATAGACACGTCTGTCAATTCTACATGTGCAGCACGGATGAATAAGTCCAGTGACCAGAAAGACACTTTAACAGCAAGAAAACGAAGGCGCAAGAGAATGGATTTGTTTCATGGAAAGTCAAAGCCCTGAAAACATTGACTGACTATGAACTGCTTTCTATGGAGTTGTCTCTGTCGGAGAGATACAAGCATGCGGACTGAATGTTCCAATCCTCCAAATGTTTCACCAGTTAAATCGCTTCTGTAAGACTGAGAACTACTCGCGTATGTTTGAAACAGACTCTTACAAGCTCAACCCTTCCGAACCCACCAACGGCCAGAGTTGTGACAACTTCCAAGTTCTGGAATGGGGAAGGAGGGAACTGGGCTACTTTCTCCTTCAGCTGCATCATCTCCAAAGAGACCTCTCTGGTCAGCCGGACGCACAGGGATCTTCTTCGGCGTTAAAAAAAAAATTAACAGAGGTTAGTATTTTCCCTGTGAGCCAGCTGGATCCCCCTACGCTAATACCCCTGTAAACAAAGAAGAGAAAAGCCCTCTCAGTCTCTAACAGGATCCTGACTCTCTTCCATGCAACAGTATTTTCTTTCTGGACATCCTTTACAAGTACATTAGACCTGAACTTGTTGTTGTTGCTGTCCAGCAGGCTCTGTGAGAATTCTTCAATCCCGTTTCTGTAAGTAAATGCCTCCTGAAGGAGAGAATCAGTTTTACATGCAGATAGCCTAAAGTACTTCCAGTACTACTTACTGCCAAATCACACACCTCCGTGACCAAACGCCAAACAAAACAACAGACTTGAGCTCTAAGAAGAGGTGCAGTTTTCTTTCCCTTGTTTGACTTTCTAGTGACTGTTTTATGCCAATACGTATTTCGCAGCTCACTGTACATTATTCATACTTGTCATCCTTTTAGTTGTGAGAAGGGATAAAGAAAGCTTGCTGTGAAATATTTATGTCCCATGTAAATGTACCCATCTGGTTGGTTGCTAAAAAAGAAAAATATAGATTTTTTTTTCCTCAAGGGCTTAAGATGAGATATGAATGTTACAAACTTCCCTGAGGTTCCTGACAGCCAACAATACACAAAGAAAAGAAATTAAAGAGAAGGAATGCTGAAGATAACGAGCACAAAACAGTTCTCCACTGCCTAAAGGGTTGCTTTTATTTCTTTATGGTAAGTGCTAGGTGTCACAGGTTTAAAATTCAGTCAGTGATCGCAGCAACCTTCCTAGACAAAATGACCAGATAAATTGTATCAGTCAAAGCCCCCCAAAAGCCAGAATTGAACTACTGCAATCCACATCACGGCTGACATCGTGTAATGCAGCCGTATGGGTAACAACTATCTAGAGCCCAGCTGCAACCCCTGGTGAAGTACGGGGCGGGAAAAAAGACCTTTGGATATCTCAGGAAAGCCTGCGTATGTTTTCCTGGAAGAAGCTGCATGGCTTATAGACCAGGGGTTCTCTCTACCGCTTTCCTCTGCTTCTCGTTATCATGGGCGCGGGCAGGAAACCTCGTCTGGCAACGCTGGAACTCTTGCATGCTAGGAGTCACACAGAGCCCGGCGCAACACACGTCCCTCACAGCTGCTCCGGAAAGACAAGCCCTGAGCAACACGGCAGAGAGGGCTGGCGTTTGCCTTTTTCAGAGTAGATAAAAGGTAGGCGACAGTGTGTCTTTTAAGTTCTCTCTCCAAAAAGCAAAACGTTACCATAAAGCTAGCCATCGCTTCTGACTGGTGACTTGACAATCAAGACAAAACTTTTATTCAGAACGGTTATGAGGTGTATAATCAGGCACACCTCGACGGGTCGCCTCAAATACTATCCGGAACGAATCAGACAGCGTGAACTAACCTAATCAGAGCCTTCTCCCCAAAGTAATCGCCCTTATGTAGAGTTTTAGTCAGCTGAGGCTGTGAGTGACCTGCAGTACTCTGGGTAACTTTCACCTGGAAAGTATAGGAGAAAAAATTTAGCACGACCATATTCAAAGCAACCCACGGTTTCCCCTTCTTTCCCATATGTTCCATACATGCCTAAAACTCAGCAATGCTCTCTCATGCATGAGTTACAGATAAGTATAATTACTCCCTCCCCTCAAAAATGAAAACCGTAAAACAGCCCCCAGCCCCTCCCAGATTTTAGCTGAGAGAAGGAAAAAAGGAACTTCTTGATTATTACCCTCCCCTCACCATTTTCGCTTCCCACCCTTTAAAATAGAGCAACATAAACCCCCTTTCAATGAAAAACTGAAAGATATTTCACTTCCCACAGGGGCCAGGCATCACGTGAGCTTTTTATCTTATCAGTTAAACAGAGAGCCGCCAAAAACGGTAACTAACGTTTTTCACCTTTACAAATAAATCAGCCCACAGAATAATCAGTGTTTAATACTTGTATGCGTTTTACCAACATTTCAGCATACTCTACACATCTTAACACCATTTTGAGTTTAAAAAATAAGCAAATAGCATTGATGAGTTCCTCAAACAACATTCTATTGTTTTGAATAGGTCTATTGGTTTAAAAACACCATAAAATAAACTTATCTATGATTATAAGTAAAATGTGGCTCCTACTGATGCTTGAATTCCAAAACCGTCTCCTCAACATCTCCGGAAAAAGTCTCCTCAACAACAACAAATCTCTCTTCAACTCTCCTTCTGAGCTGAAGGGCCTCCAAGGCCTTTCTCTAACTCACCGAGTGCAAACGCTCTCAGAACTTGAGACAGCCCAGAACCAAAGCAAGCAAACCTCCGGCTCAGAATACAAGCTTTTAACAGATGTTTTCACTAAAAGTTTATACGCAGCATTCGTTGGTCTGCGTTTTCACGAGAAGGTTAAAAGCTGCCTACATGCTTTAACGTTGCAATAAACTGCTCCCAAAGACAGCAGTGCCCATAGCCTGATCCCACAGAAACGCTCCCTGAGCCCACCCACAGCGGGATCTGCTCAGCAGCAGCAATACCGGCCTCTTCCGTCACCAGTGTTTCGCAGGAGCAAACGGCACATTTGTCACACACAGCAACCACCGCACCCACGGAGCCCCGCTGCTGCACGAACGCACTTACCACCTCTGCCCGCACCCACTAAAACAAAGAAGCGTCTTCAGGCACAGACACCTTTGGGAGACATATCGTGCTTATGGCAACCTTACCGATGAAAATCTTCCTGCTTTGGTTCTCTAGCGTCTTGTGCCAGCCCCCAACGTAACGGTTCATGGATAAAGGCCCCTGGCTGACTCCTCGCGGAGTGACATGGGAAAGGAAGGAGACCCTGACTGAGTCACCTGAAAGTCTCGTCTCCACTGAGCCCGGTACCTCGGCCTCCATCACTTTGCAGTTATTTCACAAACCTGCTTTTTGCCTGCCACATACTGCAAGGCCCAGAAGACGACACAGGACCATTACAAAAAGTAGACTTCACATCTCCACAGCGGTGCCAAGAGGCCTCAGAAGACACTCACGTCATATTAGAATTAGAACAGTGTATCATGCCTTCGTTGCAAATGAAAATCAGGCTCTCGCGTTTGACACGCCACTCTTGGCTCTTGTCACAGTAGCGTGAACTTCGCAACATCCTCGGCAACTCTCTGCACAGACTTTCCCGAAGACCACCCCCTGAGGATAGCTTTTGACATCCCGACAGATGTTCGTATAGTCTGCGTTCTAACAGTTAGCTTTAGCATCGCCTACCTTTCCTTTTGCTACGATAAAGAAGGTACTGCCCTCTTCTCCTTCCCGAATAATACAATCTCCCTTGTCATAGTACTCCTGTAGGGGGAAAGAGAGACACTCGGAAAATCTGACTGCAATGCAGACTTCTTAACACACCTGAATGTTGCATCAGGCTTTCGCTGCCTACCTCCCGCACACATTGCACCCCATAGCAATACGCAGGCTTTCCACTGTTTAAAGCAGGAGGGCCAATCTAGAACATATCTTAATGCAGCAGCCCATTATTTGTTTAAAACAAACGTTAACGCTGGCATCATCCTTATGAAGCAGGGGAAAGCGAGGAAAAATATATCAAAATCTCTTTGTGCTTAACGCTGATTCAGGCTACGTTGTGCATCCTCTGATGCACTTGTTTGACTTCCTAGAGTCCAAAGCTATAATTTACTTTTGTGCCACCACAGGTTGTTATTTGCTGCCAGCCTGAATTTCCTCTCGGACCATTTCAAAACGCTTCTGTACTAAAGATACAGTTTCCTTTATTTCTTTTTTTATTTTTATTTCTTCTTCTTTTTTTAAAGCTCCCTGACCACTGTTTAGAAAAACTGAACCATATCTTACCACCTCCAGGCAGTCCATGCTCTTGCTTAATTTGTCAAGTAAGCTTTTCAGCAGGGACACACTTCCAAAAAACAGAAATGCAAAGCAAATGAACAACAAGAACGATCATTAATATTTTTTCATCACCTCTTCTCATCCATACGCTTTGTACAATCACATTTTATAACCATCTAAACTAGCGCGGCTATACAAAACACAAAATACCCAACATATAAGGCTCAAGCATTCTAAACTCGCTTTTGGGATCAACACAACTTGCACCAATTAGGGAAACGTGGCAAATGCGGGTGCGTTTTTCAATCCACTTTGCATTCTGGTATGAGAAAAAAGCTCTAGCAGCTGCATTGGTTCAAAATAATGTCAACATTCAGTCACACAGAATGCCTAATTCATTGCGAAGAACAAGACCCTGTGCTACTCCAATAACACATTTTCAAGCGCACTACAGAAACTGCAAAACCAAACACGGGTGAAAACTTCAGAACTACTACGGCAACTCTGAGAAGAGAATCCAACCCCAGTGACGCCACTTGGGGAACCCGCTGCTAAGAATGACAAAACATGCTCCGTCCTGAGCCCCCTGACTTGTAAAAGTCTGGAAATGATAGAGCTCTCCAGTTAATGGGTCCCAACACAGAAATAGTTCTAGAAATCAAATGTGGAGATAAGCAGCAAATGCAAAAATGCACAAAACATCCTATATGTGTGGCCAGGCTTGAGATCTCACTTGGAAACCGTATTGGAACGGCCATTCTTTGTTAAAGAAAGAAAGAAAAATACTAAATCAGCTACTTGTGGTTTGGAACAGCTAATCTGACCTTCTTCCTAAAGGAAAAGCATTGTACATCTCCCAGCGTTCCCTGCACGAGAGAGAATTACTCTATACTACCTCTCTTCAGATTTCCTAGTCCAAGAATTTACGCTGGGATTCATTAATAAATTAAGAGAGACTTAATTTAGCCTACTCGAGCTGCAAATCAACATCCAGCTGCAGCAGTCTGTTAAACCTATTTATTTAATATACTCTTGCAACTTCTAGCCACGGAGCCTTGCTACCCCTTTGTTCTATTACTTAAAAGCATTCCTTTCATCAAGCACACGCTCTTGTTCTGTAATGTGATGCAGGAGAAAAAAACATCAACATGAGAAAAACGTTTCTGTGAAGCCTCAAAAAAGCAACAGAGGTAAATATTTAGGTTATTGAGGCCCTTTGCAGTCAGGGCACCTCTCTCTCTCTCTCTCTCTTTCTCTGCCTCTTTCCCCAAGACAGGCACAATATTGTTGTGCACCTTACAAAGTAATCTGAACTTACACAGAAATAGCAAGGTATCATGTTTACACAGAAATAGCAAGGTATCATGTTTACCTTCTAAGGAAGCTTCTGTATTGCTCTTGTCTTGTTTGTGCTGTCGCCCTCATGATGTTTCGAAACACTTCTCTGTCCAATGCCCATGTTTTCACATTGGTGATTGCTTTAGGAAAACAAAACAAACAACAGAACCAACAACGTTTCCTAATGATTTGATGGGAGATACCACAGTAGCAGGACACCGTACAATAGAGCACAAGGCCAGACTTTCCAATACTCAGTATCTTCTGCAATCAGACTTTTAAAAGAATCCCGCTCCCACTTAAACCATGGTCACTGAAATAAGGCTTAGATTTCCACTCGCTTCCTCCACTGAGCACTTTCCACGCAACCCAACAAGCTGAGGTACCTTGAAAACCTAGCCATTCACTGTGGGCATAAACAGGGCTGAAAGCTTGTGAAAAGCTATTCCTAACCACGGACAGTCGTCTCACTCCGGAACTGCAATCTAGCCTGTAAAAGAGCTCGTTTGGGTGGGGGGGAGGAACCCACCTTGGCCTAAGGTTCCAAAACTCATGCTGCAAGTGCTGGACCCATCTCTAATTCAGAGTACATGCAAATATTGGTGAGACACACAATAAGATAAGAATAACAGAGATCAAGAAATTCATTTCATTTCATGGAAGCCAGTGATCTTGTCACATTTTCCCTCCAATTTAGCCTATTCATAAGGGAATATAAAGGCAATCGAAATAGGAGAAAGTACTGATTACCTTTGGAAGGGTAATCAGCATATTAATATGGAAAGCACGCGCGAGAGCCAACATCAGAGTCATAAACCACTAAGCGGCCTCTGGAGCTGACCCAACAGAACATCCCACACTTCCTACTTTTAAACAATAGAAGGCGACTCCATTTAATTTCATCTCTCTTTTTTTTTTTAAAGATGCTACATTATATTCAGCATGTCTACTTCTGTCATATGAAGGGACAAAACTGTTTTTCTCTAAGTTAAAGAAATCTCCAGAAAAAGCTAGAACAACTGAGTCCTTCAATTTATCAACTCATCAGAAACAAACAAAACCATCTTTACAGGAAAGAGCAATCCCAGCTGTGAAACGATGCCTCAAGGTCAGCTACCAGTCTCAGTATGTAACCGTGATGCACGGGTACGCTCTCAGCTGCCATCACACTTTTGCTCCAAAAAATTAGCTCCAGAGATATTTCAGCTCCAAAAAATTATTTCTGGAAGCTGGGAGGCAAAACAGAGCTTTTGCTCTGTTTTTGGTTTTATCCTGAACACCTTTCAATTTCCTTTGCATGAAGGAAACATGGCAAGTATGAAAGCTAGTGAGAATCCATCTCATGCATCTTGCACCTTTCCTGAGTAAAGCAATTATACGGCTAGAAAAACAAATGTAATCTCAAAGAGGAGACACAGAAAGGAATTCGGAAACAAACATAGCAGAAATCATGTTCCCACATTCAAATACAGCTACCGCATATAAAGATGTTGCTGGGTTGCACCAGCCAACCACTAAAGTGCTCTGTCTGGCTAAACTCCTTCACTTGCTGTTACTCAAAGACTGCAGGTAAAGGGTTTACTAGATCCAGCCTCAATAAAAAGCTGCCAAGATGTATCTACTAGTCAGGCTCAGTTAAGGCCTTCACACTGCTCTTTCTCCACTACAAGAAACACAGGAAAGCTAACAGGGATACGGGTGCAAGCGACTTTATTGCAGTGATTCTACATGTTCAAACACCTTTTCTTGTCCGTAATGAGCTACCCAAAAGCCAATCAACATCAACAGAGGTCTAAAATAGCATGACATCTTGCTCTGCAGGACCTGCCCAGGGCTGACACTGTATAGCGTGCAAAAAGGAAAAACAAGGAATACAGTCAAATAGAACAGTGCACTAGTAAGAAAAATAATCCAATAAACAGATGCTGTTCTGTTTATCAGGCAGCCACAGAAAAAAACGATTAAATGTAATAACTTCCATCTGCATAGCCAGCAATGATGAAGTGCTTAAACCAGGCACAAGGGAGAAAGACCAGCAGCTTTTAAAAAGGAACAGCTTCCTGTTTTGTTCCACTTGTTCCTTTTTAAGTCAACACGAACTCTTCACACCTACCAGTGGTTCAGGGGTCCTGCCGATTTGGACAGATATTAACCTCCAAAACAGGAGGTGGAAAGGTGCAGAGTGGGATAATGGGGATGATGAATTCAATCCGCCTTCGATCACTTACTGCTTTGCCATGGAATAAGTATGGCAGGCTAGAAAAGGAATCAAGGAGTGCTTAATGGATTAAAAGCCAGTCTTATGCGGGAAGATGGATGTTTAGATCACAGCACTACCTAACAACTCCATCCCGGTCAGCACCGTAAACACAAAGCAAAAGCCACTATTTGCCTCGCAGAAGGCCAGGCCTGGAGAAGACATGTCTCACCTTGCGGTTTCATCACTCCCACTACCTTCTCTGTGGTCAGACTCAATCTTCTCCCGAGTGTCCGGGCAGACCCCTACCCAGCATTTCCCACTGTGTGTCCCAACAGGCCCCTTTAGCTTTCCAGTCAGAGAGATCTCACAATAATCCAGTATTCAGTCAAGCTACTCCTATGGCACGTCTGTGAAAAGGAAAACAGAATTTGGCCTCTGCCTGCACAGTAAGTAACTGTGCACTAACAGGCAAAGCGATGCTACCTTTTTTTTTTTTTTTTAACAGTGATTCAAGTTGAAGAACATTTCTTTAGGATGGCTAAAACCTTCTGAAACTTGCCTTGGAGCAACTGAAAAGTAACATTCAAGTCACTCCACTGCCTGCTACAGAATTAAAATGATACCTTACTAATCATTCCAGGCACTCTGGATAGTCTGGGTTCTGAACACACAGGTATGATTTTGGTGGCATTCACAGGAACAAGTATGGTGAAACTGTCCTCAGCGATATGAGCCACACGGGCTCTTCTTTTCACAAGCTAGTCTCCCAGGCTCCGATTCAGGAAGCACTCCTGTTCTAAATCCACCTTCAAATAGATGTTCAGAGAGCCAATACCACTTACCCCTAACACAGGCATTCAGCATGTCCAAAAGGAAGAAATTAGAGTCAAAATAACTACTTAGAAGAAAAAAAATACAACTTTACAGCTACAATAATAATGATTTCTCAGTTGAACGCAAATTCTAGCGCTCTACTTTTCTGTCCCCTCTCCTCCCCCCCCATTAAAACAAAGCACAAAAGGGAAAATGCAGCCTGGCAAGACTCAGTAACTTAATGATACAAAACTTCAGGAAGTACAAAAGCAACAAATTCCCACATCTTTGATTTCCTCTTGAACTAGGCTTTATCTGCTCTATGAAAAAAACATGGCTCTGAAATCTTTTCAAACTCACTGTAATTTACACCTCCAGGCTGCACTTGAAACAAGAGCGTTAAGAGCCAAAGACCATCACCCCACTAAACCTTTCAACCTTTAAACCTAAGACTTCCTTAGCAGTTAGCTTTGCACAGACTGGGCTCATCAAAGACTTTGGAGATGGCTGATCTTTTATCAAAGGTCATTCTTAGAGACGGGAATATATTTATGTCACCGTGTCAGGTTCCCCAGGCAGGAAGAACTCAAAGAAGGAAACGGGAACTTACTGCAGATGGTCAGCACATGCAGGCAATGATGACTTCTGAGAAAAACAGGATACAACAGAGACTTCACAATAGCACATACTGTTTTTATTTTGAGCAACGCTGTCATAATAAACCTTGCGTACCTTTCACAGAGGCAGTCCGCGTGCAGTTGTTTAAAATGGCTAGCTCACCAAACGCTGTCCACGCAGGTATTGAGGAGAGTAGCTCATTCTGCCGAAAGACTTCCAGGTTGCCCTCTGCCAACAATCATCAGGATAACATGCATTAAAACCGAGCTCTACTGCACGGAGCGAAGGGAAAACAAATCAATACAGTCCTGGTTTCCCCACTTTCTGGAATACAGGCATGGGAGCACGGATGCAAACAGCGCCTTTGAAACACAGGTATAAGCCAGCAGAGAGAAATAATGCATTGCTAATCTAAGGTTTTCATGTGGAAGAGAGGGAAACATGAGACAGACTTCTCACTACCAAAAAGGACATGGAAAAGAGTAATCCTAAACCCTGATGGGATAAACCTTTGCTACAGCAAAACAGTCGTACCAGTTGAGATAACCTAATGGGGTCCAGACAAACCAGTCTTAGAACAGCGCTTATAAGAGAAACTCCTCACGAGGTTTGTCTGCTCATACGCATGTGTGTGGATGAACGTGCAGAGCGTAGGGGAGAGAGCGAGAAAGGAAAAGCAAGTTAATTCCTCCTTTAAGAAATGGTCCTTGAGCCTTACTAACAGACGTCTAAGAAAGCCTGAATTTCTTCTTAGGTTATGGCCCAAGAAACCCCTCCCTCTCTGAAACATGTCCTGCAAGTTCGGCTCTCTTCTCTCCTGGACACTCACTTCCTCCTCAGAAAAAAAAGGCTACTGTGCCACCAAAACTTCTGGGCTCACAAATCCTTCGTAAAATTTTATCTGTTTTTCAAAATCGTATCATTTTGCCTAATAAGAATGTTTCTTCCTCACTACGAGCCCTGGCTCCCCTTTCTCCCTGCACCATCTGGGTTGGAGAAGCACAGCTACCCCCTGCCCCAGCTTTTCACACTAACCCATCTACGTGAAGCCACAAGACAGCAGATGCGCTTTCCAAGGCGTGCCATGTACGCTTCCGGCTTCAATATTCCTGCCTCAGCCAAGCAGACGTTTAGACTCTCTACAGCATGAGCTTTAATTCTTACGAGCTGCTAGACCTTCTAGCCGTCCAGAATTGAAGAAGTCTGCAAATGACTTACAAATACTTGCTTTTTTTTTTTAAATACTGTCTTTTTTTTTTTTTTAGTGGTGAGATGACGAAAGAGAGCGTTCCCTCCATGAGCAGCTCCCAGGTGTTCAACTTCAGTACAGCCGATTTCTGCACGCTGTAATTTTAGGTTTGAGTGACAGAACGGTAGCAGCCAACAAAGAAGACAGCAGCAAGATAATTTCACACCTGCTGGTGTTATTTTATGAGGTCATCTTAGCCCAAAGTTTGGGTTTTTTTCTCAGAAAAAACAAGCAGCTGGCTTTAAGAACAGCGCTGGACCCTGCGAGCAGCTAACTCAGACCTCATCTCTCACGATCCCACACACAGGAACCTGGTTAAGAGCTCCTAGGAATACTGGAAAGTAAGTTCACTTGAGAAATGGTTTCACCATACAGCAGCTTTCTGGATTCTAAACTATACCTGCTCTTCTGTCGCACAAGAGAGGTTTGGCTGCATCTGCAACAGCTAGGATCTGCTGGCCTCTACGCGTTCAACATGAAAGAAGCCTCTCAAGCTCTTTTGCACAGCAAACAGCGCTACAGCCAGGTAGAAGTCGCTAAGGCACTTTCTGTTGCCCTCCCTCTCTTACACAAAAGTCACAGGTAAAACTCCCATCGCCCTCAGCCCCGCCAGCATGAATGATTTAGGAGCACAAAGGTCAACAGCGAGGGCTCCTGCAAGGACTTCTAAGCGACTTCCCTGTTTCTGGCACGCGCGCCTTGTACAAGCAAGCAGCACTCACCTTCGAGCACAAAAATGTGATTGCCTGGCTCTCCCTGGCTGATGAGGTAACTCCCTTGCTGCTAAGTCCTTTCCTACCTACATTCCACGATGTCTTGGATCTGCTGAGGCTCCAGTCTCATCAGGAACTGATTTTTATTCAGGGCATCCGTGATGAGCTGCTTCTCACTGCTTTCAATCAAAAACCAGGTTTAACAGATCCAGCATAGCCGGGGTATACCATTCACCAGACATTCATTCCTCTCAAGATGGTTCCTCTCAGTTCAAACACCAACAGCATGGCAGTACCACTGACTCTTCTTACAATCCTTGCAGCTACTACGCACCCCACTGCCACACTACATCACGGCCTCTTTCCCCCTGTGTGACCCCACCTGCAGAAAGCATCAGGTTAGATGTAAAAAAGCATGCTCGCTACATGGCAAGCTCCCCAGAAAGTTTTGCACTGCTTTCCATCCCATTCTTCCCCTACTACACCACTAAGGCGTGCAGCCTTAAGCTTAATCTGAAGGAAAGCAATGGGAAAGGTAGGCTGCTGCCCATCCAAGAACGGCAGCCTCTTGTAAAAGCAGGCCCACTTTTATAATGCTCCAGCGCTTTCTTTCTGCACTTTCTGTGCCCTCCATCCAGCTCTGTGCAAAACTCCTCCCGCCTCCTCCACTATGTCCGCTTCCTTCTTCTTTTGCGCTGGCGACAACCACCAGCACAAATGCTCCTGAGTAAAATTCCTGGAGTAGTCTGCCCATTTGGGATGACAAACGCGCTGTCTCCTCCAGGAGAACGACCAGGCATCGGGGGAGTCTTCCCAGAACAACTCTTTCCTCTGCTGCGTTTGGAACGTTTACGGTGTACTTAGAAGAACAAAAATGAGACAAAGGCTTGTGCACGTAAGTACCTAGGCATTAACGCTGACCTCCTTGCTTTCTGAAAGCCAGCATCTGGGAAAACGCCTTTCTATTAGGCCCTGCCTTGGTAAAGCTTCAGCACACCCCAGCCATCCTGGGCTGTTTTGTTGAAATGTCTTTGGGAAATCTTCAGGATATCCCTAAATGTCAGGTAGACAGCAGGTAAAGCAGGCACACCTGTGACCGAAAAGCCAGCCAGCTGGGGCCTTGAGGGCAGTAAGAAGCCTTACTTGCCCTGAGCAGCTTCACCTGGGAGCCCCATGCATGCCTCCTTTGCCCATTGGCCTGGCTGCTCTATTTCAGGCCAGGCCTGGGCCTTGTCTTCTTGCTAAGTGCTGTTAGAGCTGGTTGTGTCTCTGGCTTTGCCTTCTGCTTGGTTGTTGGACCTGCGTTCCAGGTAGCTTGTCTCCAGTGCTGTCTTGGGCTTTCTCTCCTGGATGGACATTGGATCTATGTTGTGGCCTTGGCTGCGGTCCTGTCTCTGCCTCTGTGATGGACCTTGGGCCTCTGCTGTCTCCTGTCTCTGGCCCTGTCTCCTGTTGTTCCTGACAAGGCTCCTTGATGGCCCCTGGACCGGACTCATCATTTCTTGTGTGGGACTCCTGACGGACCTGTTATTGCCACCCTGCCTTGGGCTGTGTGGGTCTGTGGCCTGGTCACTCAAAGTGCCTGCTGCCTGTGCAGTTGTTATCTTTGGCACCTGCATCACCTTCCCTTGGGGAGCAGTCCTGCTCTTGCTGCTCCCTAGGACAGCCCCTCTGCATCATCTCCAGCAAAAGCAAGTACTGACAGGTAAATGGAGTGGTTGCAGGGACAAGAGCTGCTGCCAGAAGAGCTTGGGACATGTTTTTTACAGAGACATGCAGGAAAAAGAGGAGGTATGAGCAACTGAGTTGGGGAGGAGAGGGAAGTTGTCTGTCTGTATTTTTGGCAGTCCATTGATTTTCATAGGCTGAGGTATGTTTTAGGCCAAGGGCTTCCTACAAAGCCCTGGAGGTACAGCACTGCTTGGAATCATGACAGAAATGCATGCAATTAATCACATGGAGCACTGATGGAGCTTTTAGGGACTTGCTGAGTGGATTTTTCTCCACCTGTAAAGTGAGAGATGACCTATGCCTTCCAGTTCCAGTGTTACTACTATGCATGCTTAGTCAAGCCAACTAACAAGATAAGCAGCCTCACAACTTCCTGAAGCCTGCTCTTGCTGATAACTCCTAAAACAAAAGGCTATCATCGAAACTAGGTCATGTGGACACCTCTTCTGAGGGGAAGTCTACGAATGAATGATTACCTAATGTTACCAGTCAGGTCTGCCTTCCTTACCAGGCATGCAATGCCTGAAACAGTAATGGCAACAACAAGAGGCCAGACAACAAAACCAAATAGCTGTGGCAATGATTGGACTTGGAGCCTGCAACAGAAAGAATAAAACCTCATCTTCTCCCAAAAGCAAGAGTTCTAGTAGACTACAGTTGCAAACAGTATCATTCTTAGCAGAAAACTAGCAGGATGTAATTGACCCTGCCCTATGTCATGCACACAATACTGCAGTAAGATAGACAGGCCTGATAAAGTGATACCTGAGAGCAAGTACTGTAGCTGCCAGAGAGACAGGACAGAAGATTAGACCCCTTTCAGAAAGGAGTGGAGGATCAAAGATGACCAAAACCATGGCTGAGGTTCTGAATCAGTGGCTTGCTGATTTCATGGCCCACCAGCACATGAGCATGCCAGCTCTCTGCAAAGGCAGTCCTCAACCATTTCCCTCAGCTTCCCCAGTATCTACCCCAATGTGGAGAATGGCTGCTGGGAGTAACAAGTTCTCCTAGAAGGACAGAAGGCAGTTAACCTTGTAACTCCTGCTAGCCACTGCAAATACTTTGCAAGACTGAAGGGGAGTGGGGTGCCCAGCTCCCCATACTCATGCTTCTGTCTCAAAGCATTTCTAAGTCCTACCATCAGTAGGACTAGCTTTCTTGGACCACCTAACTCCATCTCTGCAGTAGTACCTGTCTCCTGGCTTCGTTTACCAGCTGTTGTAGATGTGTCCCTCTTCCAGCAGCCCCAGAAATAGCACTTGCCAGCCAAGGGACTCCTTTTCGAGAACAGGACTGTGCAGCTATACCCATGGTAAGCCAGAGGAACCTGGGTGTCATCACACAGGGACAAAGACATGATGTGTCCTTTGTGGAGCAATGCTTTTTCCATGCCCTCTTCTCCTAGTGAGATGAAAGTCTGGATTTTTGCTGCCCTTGACTGGTAAGGGGCGTAAGAGTTGAGTATAGTTCTCTTTCCCTGGCCAACAATGACTAATGGCTGAATAGGGTCATGATCCTGAGCCCACAGTGGGAAGGGCTTTCACACAGGCAGCTTAAGCACTGCTGGGGCAGGATGCGAGTTCTAGAAGCACACAGAGAAAGAGAACCAAGCCCCACAGACACAGGTACTTGGTGATGCACATGAATAACTGTGCAAAAAAGATGTTACAACCTTTCCCATTTGAAAGATTTCTGGGAGGAATCTCTCTTCAATAAGATCATGTTCAAACCCCCCAAAATGTTAAGACCTTTGCCCACTTTTTTCCTCAGCTCAGATTTCCATTGAGGAAAATCCATGGGTTTTGGAAGAGTAGAGAGCACAGCAAGTTCTTCAACTAGCTCCAGAGATTAAATAGACACAAGAAATCATCCACTCATAGTTGACAGCTGAAGTACGATGCAAAGCTTCTAGGCCTTGTGTTAAAATCATTCATGGTGAGTTACTCCAAGCAAAGAAGTATTCCACTCAAAAGCCCTGCAAAATGAATCCTCTGTGATTATGCCCTTTGTTTGTACAAGCGCTTCTCGAGGTGACCCGCAATGGTCTGAACTCGATGTAAATGCAAGTGTCCCCTGGCCTCTCCCTTCCCTTCCTTCTGAAACAGCTCCTTTCCTAACTTGGTTGGAACAGTCTGCAACAACCTCATGGGAAAGTAGGGCTGCACTAAGTTGCATTAACAGCCACTTACATCAGCATGTCTAAACACACTTCTAGAGCTGCTGTTAGGATAAAGCATCAGTAGTAGTTTTTTATTACAGTGGACAGAGAATTCTGTAGACAATAAAGACTTTGCTGCTAGATGCTGAGATGAAGCTTTACTTGGAAAGGTCATCACAGGCTTAAGGATAACAAAGTTATTCTTGTGTCAGACCTCCCAGACAGTCCTTTCACCTACAGCAACTGTCTGAATTGGACTGACTTAAGGTCTTTACAGCTCAGGAAAGGAAACCAGATGCTCCATCCTTCACTGGATGTCTCAGTAGCAAGATGATGGTGGCTTTAACAACTGCATGCCTAGCACTCAGACATTGCTGTGCTATCTACAGCGCTGCTACACCTCTAACACAGATGATATCTTCTCACACTTGTCACTTTATGAATATTTGGAAGAAAAAAAGACAATGTTTGCCCAAAGACTCCCCCCCTACAACATGTCTGAGCAAGATCTTTCACTATTACTTCTTTTGTTGAAGAAAGTGTAAATGTATGCATGTACCTACTCATTCTTCCCTCTGTGTGTAATGTGTATGGGTTTATAAAATGCATTAACTCCAAAGTTTAAAAAGAGGAGAAAAAAAAAGCCTCATGCCTAGGCCTAGAAGCTACTGCAGATACACATCTTAATATTATGTTGGCTGGGGCAACAGAATAAAAATGCAAACTTGCAAATGACTGAAAGATTTCTGGCCATGCTCTTCAAGTGTTTTGACTTGATTATCCCCAGGGACAGAGGTTGCATTAGTATCTTATAAGTGTATTAACTTTAGGCACCTGCTCCTGCTGTATTGCCTTCCAAGCTATCTAGTCTTTCCAAGCCTAAAGTCTGGACAAACTCCTCTCCACTACTGCAAAGCAAATAACAAGGATCCATACCATAACAGATTTAAGTTTCAGACTCTTAGCTAGAAAAATATATGAACTCTTGGGGACTCAACTGTATATAAAATAGAACTACTCTGATTGCCTATCTTCTACCTGTGATTTTAGACTTAAAAAAAGAATACTAATATAAAACATCACTGTAAAAACACACACACAAACAAAATCTGTAACTGCTGTAATGCCAGTAATAATAAAACTCCACACTCTGCTATCTCATTGTCTTGCTGACTACTGGGCCATGCTATTGGAGCTAAGAGGAAAACCCAGGATATGGCCACCTGATGTCCTACCAAGAGCCAGAGAGCTACAAAACAGTAAACGATGGAATCATTTTAGTTTTTTAATTAAGATTTTTTTTTAATTTTTATTTGGTAAGTAAATCTTGAATCTCTTCAAAATTTTTAATTAAAATCTTTTAATGAAATTATTTTATTTTTTCTTAAGAATGCAGTGTAAAACATTCAGAAGATGAAATATTTTCCTATAGGGTTACCCTGATATTCATCTGTGGCATAATGTAATCAAAAGTTAGGACATCCTAGAAGGGATTTTCTCAATTCCAGCCCCTCCAATGCCTTATTGTGTAACACGTACTGTAAAATAGGTTTTTCTTCGGTCATAATCCTGGCTCACATGAGGGAAGCCCACAGGAGCTCTTTAATCAGCTAAGACTCTGATCATATTTGTCAAACAGCTATTGTTGTATTAAAACCTGGAGACTGGTCCTATGTCCAAAACTGCTTTTTAATTTGTTTTTCATTGCAGTTTGAGGAGCAACCTCTTCTTTTATTTTGGAAAGAACACCTGACAAACAGTTTCTAATGCTAATTACTCTGGTAAACTTTGTGTGTTTTCTAGCACTAGACAATGAAATAGAAATCAGGAGTTCTATTTCTTTCTCACATTACTGACACTCAGGACAATAGTCAGCAGACAAATCAAAGTTTAGGGCCATTGTAGAAGACCAGAATTTGAATTCAAAGTAAAGAGCGTGCAAAGGAAGGAAACTGGGGAAGCCTTGAAAAGGACAGAAGGAAACAAAGGTACCGAGAGAGTAATAGGAAAGCTGTAAATGGGGGGGAGGGGAGGGGAGAATGGTCTGCTCTTGCTGCCTTTTCTGCAATACTAAAACAAGGAGTTGTTTTCAGTGAAATCAAGATCAGAATAAATGCAGAAATGGTCTGTTTTAAGTCCTTTTGAATCAATGGGAACCCTACCACTAACAAAGATGATCTCTGAATCGGAGTCTAAGAGCTGAAAGAGGGAAAACAAGAATCAAAGCCCACAACTTCTCCTTTCTCAGGCTCCTTTCTCTTCCAGAAAGAAAAGAAAAAGGGGCTAGTATACAACAACAGTGAAAATGTTCTTTCTGGATTCAGTGGTTGAGCACTTCAAAAACCCTCTCCACTTACCTCATCTATTGTCTGATCAGCCCTACATTTAGGCTGTGTAAGCTGCAGTCTTTGTCCTGAACAGCCATGTCTGTGCTGGACTTTGCTCCTCGTCGCCTGCCTATTCGCTTTGCTTCACTCCTTAGTGCTGTTACAATTTTGTATTTCTGAAGGCACCCTAGAAAACCATCTGGTGTGCTCCAGTACACAGATCACGCTGGGAGAAGACGGGTAGTTACAGAAGGACTACTCTTCAAACACTTCTTTAAAACTGCCAAGCCACTGGAGGTAGGATGTTGTCACAGTTCCCTCACTCTGCAAAAATACTGCTAGCTGAAGCCTTCAGCTCCTGAGGGTGACTCAGGCATCCTTCCTGGTTCATGAGACACTTCTAACCTGCAATGCTGCACATGACTGATGATAACTAAATCCAGACTCACAACTGGTACCATGGCAGTTATAGTATAGATCCAAATGTGCCATGAAACCTTCAAGAAAGAATAATAAAGCTCCCCACAGATCCGAGACACTTGAGCTGCTGGCTAAAGTCCAGACTTAATCTGGCCAGCACTATGCTCAGGCAGACACTTGGAATACTGCAAGATAAAAGCGGGCCTAAGGGTATGCTTAAGGATACCAATCCGGATACCTCCTAATAGACAGGTCCCTCAACCATGACTGCCAGAAGCTGGAAAGCAGGAAAAAGCCACCAGAAAGATAACCACCCTCTACAAACCATTCTGTTATATATTGTACCAGACTATGTCAACAGTGGACTCACGGAGGAAGTTTTTCTACTGCTCAAAATAAGGGTCCGTACTGCACACGAGAGAGTTAAGCTGGGGCCAGGTGCTCCTCCCAAACTATCCCTACTGTAACAATCTGAGCCTATGGGAAGCATCCAGCCTTATGCCCATCTCTGTACTCCAGACCCCAGCTTCAACTGTAAGCAGAAGGCAAGCCTGGACCTCAGAAGAGCTTTGGGCTGTGCTTAGCTCACAGCGGAGACGATTCCCAAACTCCCTAACAGAGCCCTCATACATCCCTCACGCTCGTTCCTCAAAGACCAGCGGGAACACCCTCAACTGCGACATGTTCTAGCAAGCTCTGAAAGAATGAGAGAACTCACGGTCTCAAAGCGTTTGAGTGTACTGCTTAGTAAAGAAACCCCACAAACCTACCGAGTGTCTAACTACTACAGTGACATGAAAAGTATAAAAAACAGAGGCAGACACGCTTTACATATGCATTTATAATGAAGAGACTGCCCTTTGGAGGGCAGAGGCAGGAAACGGGAAAGGACTTCTCCGGAAGAGTATGTCATTGCAAGGGCAGACGCACACGTGTACAAACGGCACGCAATGAGCTCACCTGGAATCCTTTCTGACCCTTGCTTTTTCAAAGGAAAACCTAGCCGGCTTGCTCAGGTCATACAGCCAAGTTGTCGGTTCTGCAGATACACCTTCCTTTGCACCTCTCCTCCCATTAGCAGAGCCTTTAATCCTTGGAGACACTTTAAATGGAGAAGGCTGAAGAGAGCTCTCTCCCTGCACGTTAACAACATCCTGCAGTTTGTTCAGCTGTATACACTTGCTCTGAAGTTCCTGGGTATGTTCTGCTATGACCTTAGTCTGCATAGCCAGCTCTTTCTGAGGCTCAGCAACCCGGCATTCACTGCCTTGTAACTCTTCATCTTTTTCCTTCAGCTCCTTTTCCAGCTCAAGCACCCTGCTGCAAAGAACATCAGCTTGCCCGGTCACACCGATGCCCAGAGCTGGGTCCTTCAAAAACTTACCCTTGCCAGCACAGCCACTAGAGAGCTTTGCTACCTGTCTATCTAGCTGCTTCAGATGCTTGGGTTTCACTGATCTGTTCCCCATTTTCTCCAGAGACCTAGGTAATAACATACATTTGTGGGTTTACTTAATTGCCCAACCAGAACAAAAATGTTGTTTGGGATCACATGGTAGCTCAGGAGTTTTGCATTTAACTGTCAGCTGAATTTGAGGTATACAACTATAACTAACATCACAGTTTATGCTCTCATCCTTTCCGGTCCTGAAAGCAGGAGGAGGAAAGGGCAGGGAGAAGAGGTGGGTAGGCTGGTGGATACAAAGCAAAAGGTTGATGGCTGCCACTTCTTGTGTGTGTGTGCATAGAAAGGAAGAGATGTGTAAGCTTCTGTCAGCTTTACCAAGACAATATAAACAAAAACAGCAGGGACAAGAAAAGCTTGTGCTCTACTGCTGAAGCAAGAAAATGGTGGGAAGGAAGGAAAAACAAAAACCAGTTCTGTTCCATTTCCCAACTGAAGAACAGCTATTGAGTATACAGACCACCCTACTCAGTGGGTGAACTTCTGCCTGCCAGTAGGGACATGCGATTAAGGCCTGGAGCTCTTAATAATCAGTAACAATGAAAAACCACTTCTCAGGCATCTCTTACTTCAAAGAACAGTCATACTGATCAGACTAAGGGTCTGGCTAGCTAGTACCCTCTTCAACCGTGGCCATAAGCAGAACCCCAGGAAAGGCTACCAAAAGGACAAGCATACAGACTCCTTCAGCCAAATGCTTCCGATTCCCTGAGCCTGATATGCTCTATTTAATAACCCACAATGGAGCTCTCTTCCCCAGGACTTGTCTCATTTTCCCTCTAACCCCTATGAACCTCTTACATCCACAGCATGCCTGGAAAGCACTTCCACAGCTCTGCTCTTCTGGCATGAAGAACTATCTCCTCTTATTTGTCTCTTCCAATATGAAACTGGAGAACATCACACAAGGTTAGGAGGAGCCAGTTGCAAAATGAGCGCTTTCTGGTCACCTTTTCTATACTATTGGGTCGATTTCGTTCCTCTCTCTCTGCCTGAAGGTCTCCCTTTTCCAGAATGAAGGGTACTACCTTACTCAGTCCTTCCTCACCTCAGTGGCAGCAACTACTCCACCAGTTTGACCAACCTTGCTGTCCTTTCTTGATAGCAAATTTCAGGCAGCACACACTTAGATCTCATTTACTTCCACCAAGAGCAGGCAGCTGGCGCTGTTTCTGTGACTCTCTTATAGGCTTTTAAAACTGGTTCAGGTTTGCTAGTGTCGCAGCAGCTACTGCCATCAAGGAACAATGACCTCTCATGGGAAATTATCCCTTTTCATCTTTTACTCATCAGAGTGAGCAGGACAAAAGAGCTTGGGGTCCTAGCAGAATGCCTACCCTCCAAGCCCTTGTTGCAACTAGCAGCCCTCAGTGAGTTCGCAAAGCGTCCCACCTTTCTCCACGGACGCAACCTTTGGCAGATTTTCTCTTATCATTTTAAGAGGAGCAAGGAAGCAATACCTGCTACTCAGGTCAGGCTGTACACAATGCTTCTGCTACATACATTTAGGGAAACAAACGAACTAACAAATTGCTGCTGGGAAGCCAATGTTCAGGAGTCCCTAGTTCACCGTACCCCGTTGAAGAGCAATGCCTCCCTACAAAGCCCATCTCTGGACCACAGCAGTGCCAGGTTTCCGTTCAGCATACTTCCAGGCTGAGGAGACCCCCACTAAGGCGGAGGGAATGGAGCATAGGGCTGTCCTCTGCTGCCCGGGCCACAGCACCACTCTCAGGCTTTCCCCCAAACCTCCCTGCATAGCCCTAACACAGTGTGTCTCAAACAGCTGAGAAAGTCTCAGAAAGCAGCTATTACTGCCACAACACAGCACTGCAGACAAGCTGTTTCGAAGCAGTAGCACTGGACTACTTCCTTCCAGTAAGCCACTCACTGCCAACCTACCAAATTTCCTAGCAACATCCCACGATGAGGAAGGATTACATAAGCTTGCCTAGATTTACAGCTGGATGTATTCCCACTGAAACAGTTACTTCTAAGTAGTTGCTTTGTACAGCAGGAGAGCACCTAGACTCTCAGGCATGTTTTTATGAAGCTCTAAGCAGATAAATAGATTCTCCTATTAGACATTATACATGGGCCAACAAATGTAGTGATAAGCACAAATATCAGAGCTACAAAAGCAAACTGTGAGGTCACATGGCAAAACACTAAGAGCTAAAGGCGTCCTTTGGAGCTGTTCCATGACCTTTCCTAAGTCCTCCTGCCAGCCCAGAACCACCTGCGAATAGAAAAAGCACCTTTGAATGGTCAATGCTGACCTGACGGAAAGATTTTCAGGTTCCAGTATCTTTTCACCTCTTCTTCCTCACAGCAGTATCAAAAAGACAACAGGAGAAACCACAACAGTTGTGACAAATGTACAGAAATGCATACCTGATAAGAGCAGATGGAAAAGCACCACCTTTAGAAATCAAGATGGGACAACTCCATCCTCTCCTTCCAGTCTGGGCTTCTGCAGCCTGCTGCCATCCTTGCCAACCCAGCTCCCTTTTTCTCCATGCCATTTCCCCCCTGCAGTCTCATTCACGGAGGTAAATACCCGCCTTGGCCTCTCCTTGCTACATGTGCTTATGGCATCCCACGCTGTCTGCTGCTCAGGCTCCCGATGCAGCCTGTTCAACTCCACCCTGCTCTCACAGCACAGCAGATAGACCTGCCCCTGCTGTTACATCTGTTACACAAGGTCTTTTCCCTGCGGTCTCATTTTTGCCTCATCAAAATTTGCAGCTTGAATCTCAAGTGACATGGCTTAAACTAATCCCTTCTGCCATGTCACTGGAGCCAGGTTAAGAATGGGCCCCTGATCCTGTACAAGGATTAGATGACAAGAAATAAATTGGGGAGCCTCAGCAATTTGCTTTCACTGCCTGCTGTAACCATACTTCTAACAAACCCACAACTCCCTTCTCGTTCGCTCTCTACAACGGCCCAGAACTGAAACGCTGGGCAACACACATCACACTTCAAAACGGGACTTCCTGACAACAGGCTTTTCTTCTCAGAGCTTCTTCATTTTGCCTTTTTACTATATGTGCCTGTTGCCCCCGTTCCCTGGATGCACCTTGGCGTCTGCTGTTTCAGCTCGGTGACCGGGCGGTGTGCCAGTAATGAAGTTCATCACAGGTCAATCTGCACTGGAGAGGAGGATTTAAACAACTCACACTCATCAAGGTGCCCAAATAACTTCCTCTTAACTCAGAAGAGGGAGCTACGCGTCACCACGTACGGCTTAACCAAAGACCTCGTCTCAGTGGGCAACCATATCAAAAAACAAAAACTAGAACAAGGGTTACAATAAACACAGCAAAACTGGAGACTACAGGAAATATGTCAACCCACACAACCCAGTGGCAATCTCCTATAGACCACTAAATGCAGCAGCAGTCACCACCTTCCAGAAAAGGATGACTTTTAGGATGAACTTCACAAATGGGTAGGCAGAACGCCCCCGGGCACAGAAAAATCCAGTATGAAGATCAAATGCACACAGGCAATAGGTTTACCTTCCAGAGGGATGATGACTCGGAGATTAAAGCTCATAATATAACAAATGCACTAGAGCAAATCCAGCGGGAGCTTCTGTTTCCCCCATCAGAGACACAGTTAACAGCCAGCAGACAACGTGGCACAAATTCAGAACCAAGAGGTTTCCGTTTCCGCACGGTGCTGTTTATGGCTAATGCTGCAGGAAACTCTCACGGCCAAGGGTGTAACAGGAGTCAAGAGAAGGCTGCCACTTTTGACAGGTAACTCCACGGTATAATAGTTCATGCTAACAGAAACCTTACAAACCTCACGCCTCAAAGATTTGACCACTCTTTACCCACTAGGGGTTAGGGACGAGACTAAAACCTAAAACAGAGCATGCTCCACCCACTACCTACAGAGCATCTCACACCCTCTTTCGAGAGGTCTGCCACAGCCAGAGACATGGCCATCAACTAGGCAGACTCCAAACCCACCCACCCACCCAGGAGAGCAGCTGGGAGGCTGCGCCCCGGCAGCCTCCC